TCTATTCGTTTTAGGGTTGAGGAAATAGACTTAAAGAAAGGCCCTTTTTATAACCTGGCCCCTGCTTACCCACTCTGGCCTCATTTCTAGCTACTCATCCCCTCCCTTACCTTTGGACATTCTTCATCTTAGCCACGTGGAAATGAAGTCCCTTCAACCATGCTCTGCACATATTGACTTCTTTGTCTTCAATCCAATGCCTTTTCCTTACTTTCTAGATTCAAGGAAGTCCTATTCATATGAAAAAAAACAAATAAAAATTCCCACCTCAGCTCAAGGATCATCCCCTCAGAGCTGACATTCTGAATAGATGCTCCCGTGGCCTGGTGCTGTACCCTGTGACACCCCAGCTTCATGAGACCACATAATACACAGTGCCTAGTGATTGGTTAGGTACATACCTCTCTCCCCCCATTAGATTTCAAACTCCTTGAAGGTAAATTCTGTCTATTTGAATGTTTACCACCTAGCACAAATAGACACTCAATTTAGTCACAATAGACACTCAATACTTTCTGTGGAATGAATGAATCATCCTTGCTACCTCTTGACCTCACACCATATAACCTACTCATCATTAACTTTTGTTCATTTGACTTTCAAAATATTTCTCAAAGTAGAGTTGGGGATGTGGTTCAGTGGTAAAACACTTTCCAGGCATGCATGAAGTTCTAGGTTCCCTCCCCAGCACCACAAAAAAAAGTCAAAGTAGTTCATTTTTCTCCATCTGTACCACTACCACCCTGCTTCAAGCCATTGTCTTTTCTCACTTGGAGCTCTCTAACAGCTTTCTAATTGTCTTGCTACTTTCTTTCACTCCTGTATGTCTCTCCAATCTATTCCTGATACCATGGTTAGAGTGGGTTTTCTCAGATCCCCATCATATCATGTCATTCCCTAGATAACAGCTCTTCAGTAATTTCCATTTATTCTTAAAGTCCAACATTTTTTTTTTGAGGAGGGGTACAGGGATTGAACTCAGGGGCACTCGACCACTGAGCCACATCCCCATCCCTGTTTTGTATTTTATTTAGAGACAGAGTCTCACTAAGTTGCTTGGTGCCTCACTAAGTTGCTTAGGCCTCACTCAGTTGCTTAGGGCCTCACAAAGTTGCTGAGGTTGGCTTTGAACTCACAATCCTCCTGCCTCAGCCTCCAAAGCTGCTGGGATTACAAACCTGTGCCACCACACTGGGCTAGGTCCAACATTCTTAACTTGGCCTACAAGGCCTCAATGGTACATAGGAAACCTTCATAAAATATTTCTGAATGGCATATAGGTAATTCAGGTTGATACAACACAAAAGTGAAAGAGCCAGTCCATTTGAGGGGATACAGTGTGCTTTTCTTATCAGCACATATCTGTACATACCTCTTCAGGAAAAATGTCTTACCTTAGGCTGCCCTTGTTCATATGTGATTCAGAAACTAGGGCAGGGAGAGATAGGCTAAACAAAAAGAGACTGGAGCATGTGCTCAAGCAAAAGATTTCATGGTTGCTCTACTTTAGGGGCCTAGGCTTCAGAGCTCTGAGATGAGTCAGCTCCTTGAACAGTATGTACTGGTCCATTAGTTAAATACTGACACTATCATTCTCAGGAAAACCTCTTCAGCAAGTCGAATGCCCTGTTATGTAGCAGCCCTGATTAACATCTACTTCCCAAGTAGTATTCATTAGGATGATTAATTTTTTAACTTAATGAACACATCAACTATCACAGAAATAGCTTTATCATTAAAGGGAACATTTTTATCATTAGCCAGAGAAAGGCAAAATTCCCAACCACCTCACATCTGATTGTTTTTTTTTTGTCTTTCCATTCTCAAAGGCATCTATTTCAAACCTTCCCCATTGTCCTCAAAACTCTGCCCTACCTCATTTAAAAAAATTATTTCTACTCTTAATTCATTAAGAAAATAGCAGCCATATGACAGAAATTCTTCAAATGCCTCCCCACAATCCCCTCCTGTCTACTCTAGCCCCATCTTGACTGGATCTATGCCAAACTCCAATCTATTGATCTACATTTCTATATACCTTGAACAGTGATATTCTGACTATGGCCCTCTTTCCTAACCTCTGTGGAGCTAGCCCCTTACTTATCCCCACTCTTTCTTGTGGTTTCAACATCTAATATCTTCCCCCATATTCTTTCCCATAGTTTTTTTTTTCTTTTCTTTTTTCTTTTTAGTATCAGGGATTGAACTCAGGGGCACTCGACCACTGAGCCCCATCCCCAGCCCTATTTTATATTTTATTTAGAGACAGGGTCTCACTCAGTTGCTTAACACCTTGCTTTTGCTAAGGCTGGTTTTGAACTCATGATCCTCCTGCATCAGCCTCCTGAGCTGCTGGGATTACATGCATGCACCACTGTACCCAGCCCACAGGTTTTTGTTGTTATTGTGGTTGTTATTTTTGTTTTGGTTTTGGTACTGGGGATTGAACCCAGGAGTGCTTTACCACTGAGCTACATTCCCCGCTCTTTTTTTTTAATTTTTACATAGGATCTCACTAACTTGTGGAGTGTCTTGCTAAATTGCTGAAGCTGGTCTCGAATTTGTGACCCTCCTGCTTCAGCCTCTCAAATTGCTGGGTTTACTGGAGTGAGCAACTGCACCCAGCTCCCATCCCTTTTTATTTTTATTTTGAGACAAGGTCTTGCTAAGCTTCTCAGTCTAGTCTTGAACTTGCCATCCTCCTGCTTCAGCCTCCAGAGTACCTGGGATTATAGATGTACACCACTATACCAAGCTCCCATGTATTTTTAACTGAGCTGGTTTTTTCCATTTTACAAAATGTCCTCCTTGGGTTCTTATAGTGAACTGAATGTTCATGTTCCTCCAAAATTCACATGTTGAAATCCTAATCCCCAAAGTGATGAAATTAGGAGGCAGGCTTTTGGGAGGTGATTAGGTCAGGAGGGAACTCTTATGACTGGGATTACTTGTATAGGACTTATTGTATGAGCTCTAAATCTTTGTCTTCCATAATAAAAATGCTATCAATAAATTAAAATATCAAGAAATAAGGCTGGGAGCTGGGTGTAGTGGTATATACCTGTAATCCCAGGGACTCAGGAAGCAGAGATGAGAGGATTGCAAGTTCAACGCCAGATTCAGCAACTCAGTCTCAAAATAAAAATAAAAAGAGGCTGGGGATGTAGCTCAGTGGTAGAGCACCCCAGGGTTCAGTCCATAGTACCACCAAAATAATAATAATAATAATAAATAAATAGATAAATAAATAAATAAATAAATAAATTTTGGAGTGTAACAATTTAAAACAAAATCCCTATTACTATAAGTAGAAAGCACACAGTACTATGTCAGCTTAGGCTTTTGGCCTTCTTTTGCTCTAATAGGAAAACTGAACAAAATAAGAATTGAAATGTAGTAAAAGCTATAATTCAGATTACAGATAGGAATTCATGTTGAATGCTTTTCCTTAAGAGTGTTTTATTGTTTAAGCCACATTAAATAAATTTATAGTCTACTTATGAAATGACACAAAGTTGTTTCAAATCTGCTGTTAAGAGAAAGAAAGACAGGCCTTGGGGCTGGGGATGTGGCTCAAGCGGTAGCGCGCTCGCCTGGCATGCGTGCGGCCTGGGTTCGATCCTCAGCACTACATACAAACAAAGATGTTTGTCCGCCGAAAACTAAAAAAATAAATATTAAAAAGTTCTCTCTATCTCTCTCTCTCTCTCTCCCCTTCAAAAAATAAAAAAAAAAAAAAGACAGGCCTTAGTCCATTCACAATGGTCTCAGCTTCTTCAAACCTCTTCCAGTCTCCACCCATTATCAGTTCTAAAGCTGCTTCCACGTTTTTATGTATTTGTGATAATAATACCTCACTTCTTAGTCATAATTTCTGTCTTATTTCAGGCTTCTATAACAAATTATCATAGATTGGGTGACATATAAAACAACAGAAATCTATCTCTCACAATTTGGAAACTGAAAGATCAAGATAAGGGTGCCACTATGGTTGGGTTCTGACAAAAGTCCTCTTCTGGATGCAGATTGCTAGCTTATCCTTATGTCCTCATCCTGTGAAAAGGAGGAGCTAGTTTTCTGGCCTCTTTTTATAAGGGCACTAATCTCACTCATGAAGGCTCCACTTTCATGACACAATTGTCTCTCAAAGAGTCCACCTCCTACTACTGTCACATTGGGATTAGATTGCAACATGAATTTTTGGAAGGCAGAAATATTTAGTCCATAGAAGGCTATAAAGTGCTTCCTGAAATAGTGCTTCAATTTCTAGAACTAGCCCATTTCCACCCACCTTCTCAACAATAATGCTTCAGTTTTCTTGTTTTTAATTATTAAAAAAAATTTAGTTGTCAGTGGACTTTTAATTATACGTGGTGCAAAAAATCAAACCCAGTGCCTCACACATACTAGGCAAGTGCTCTACCACTGAGCTACACCTTCAGCCCCTTGTTTTGTGCCGCAGTCTGTCTGGGCACAAAATAACAGAGCTACCACACAGCCTTGTAAATTCCAACAGCAACTCTTTATTCCCGAACTCTCACCGGCACTCTACACGCACGTTCTGGGAAAATACACTCCCTCCACCAGGCTCTGCGTGTCAATTCTCTCAGAACCCGCGAGAACTCAACGGGAACTCCAAAGGAGGGGGGGGGGGCTGAGGCAGCAGGATATGCCCTATTCCCAGTAGGATCCACCCTAAACCAGGAGCCACCCTAATCTCTGAGCAGGGTCACCTTTCAACCCAAAATGCCATGTGTCATTCCTACTTGGCTATGGCTCTCAGCAGTTTTGAATTTGATAGAGTATTTGACATGAAGGCAAATAAGTGATTAAAAGTCATTTGATAAAATTTGTCTACAGAAACTAATGTTTCCCCATAGCGAAATGATGTCAGATGATGATGCAAAATGATAGTGATGTCATAAACCCTAGAACAGGGTGAACCACATAAAATACCGTAGTAACCTTGGCAGAAGAAACATTTGAGCAGAGCCCTGGACATGAATTTTTTAATTTATGTCCTATTTTTGTCCATTTGGACAATTAATTGTTTAAATACAAGCGAAAGTGATGGATCTTCTACCATAGGTATGTGCCTAACCTTAAAATTCATAAATTATGATCTATTATATTATTCATTTAAACACTTAATTACAAAAGCTAGCCACATTTAGGAAATCTGCTGTTACTTTGATGTTACTATTAGTAGGTCTTCAATAATTTATAGCACAACAGTTGATATTTTTATTTATTTATTTTTAATATTTTATTTTTTTTTAGTTTTTAGGTGGACACAATATCTTTATTTTTTTTATTTTTATGTGGCGTTGACGATCAAACCCAGCGCCCCACACATGCCAGGTGAGCATGCTACTGCTTGAGCCACATCCCCAGCCAGATATTTTTATTTCTATATGTAAAATCCAAGCAAACTATAAGCACAAAGAGTACAGATTTACCGGGCATGGTGACTCACACCTGTAATCCCAGAGGCTCAGGAGACTGAGTCACGAGGATCACAAGTTCAAAGCCAGCCTCAGCAACAGCAAGGCCCTAAGCAACTAAGTGAGACCCTGTCTCTAAATAAAATACAAAATAGGATGGGGATGTGGGTCAGTGGTTGAGTACCCTGAGTTCAATCCCTAGTACCAAAAAAAAAAAAAAAAAAGAATACAGATTTCTGATCCCTCTTCATTCCCCTTTCTCAGTCAATGCCCCAACCACACTAGATAATACTATGTGGATGACTCTGGCATAAGAGTTAAAAAAAAAAAAAGTAGGGTTTTTTTTTTTGTTTTGTTTTTGTTTTTTGTTTTTTTAGACAGGTCTCATTATATTGCCCTGACTGCTGTCAAGTTGCTGGGCTCAAGTGATCCTTGTGTCCCCTCCCCTTTCCCAACACACATATTTATACACATTAACACTCAAAGGCATGCACACCCTCAAAAACCTAAGTACTATAATGAGCAAGCCACAATACAGGGGTAACCCAGGTAATTGTATGGATTAGCTAGACATACCTCTCAGATTTGACTTCTAGACTGTGGCTGAGGCAGTCAGGAATGGTGGTACATGCCTGTAATCCCAGCAGCTCGGGAGGCTGAGGCAGGAGGATCACAAGTTAAAAGTCAACCTTAGCAACTTAGCGAGGCCCAGAGCAACTTAGTGAGACCCTGTCTCTAAATAAAATATAAAAAGGGCTGGAGATGTGGTTCAGTAGTTAAGTGTCTCTGAGTTCAGTTTCTGGTGTGTGTGTGTGTGTGTGTGTGTGTGTGTGTATTATATGTGTATATATGTGTGTATATTATATACACACATATATACTGTAGTTGGAGATGTATTCCAGCCAACAAAGTTACAGTGGAACCTTTATTAGTTTTTAAAACATCATTGATGAAGAGATTTGATCTTGACCTATAGTACCAAGCCACTGTTAAAGTGGAAGGAAACTTGGTTATCTAACACATTCTCTGATGATACAATGTCTTTGCAGGAGCTAAGCAACTTGAATCAATGGAATCAAAAATAGACAATTTTAGGAGACATCTACTCATCAGTATAATTGGTGTTATGATCATAGCCTTCGTCTTTACCTGTTTTTGTTTTCTGCATTATAACTGCATGAATGAAGATGCCCATGAAGCTGGAATGTAAGTTTGATGCATTTATTTATTTATTTATTTAGCAGTGCTGGGGATGGAACCCAGGGCCTTGAACATGCTAGGCAAGTGCTCTACAACTGAGCTACACCCAAGTGTAGTTTTATATCTTTAAATTAAGAATGCAAATACATATATATATATATATATATATATATATATATATATATATACATATAACAGAGATTTCGTTGTTGTCCAGGTTACTTAATATTACCTCTAGATCTCTAAAGAACTACCAACTTCTTGTTGGTGGGATACTTTCACTTAAATTATATCAGCTCTTAAATATTCTCAAATACATTATTAATGTTGGCCAAAGCTGTCTCCCACTCAGGGTTCAACTGAACCCCCAGGCTATTACTTTCATTATAAATTAAGAAGAAGAAAAGAGAACATGAGAATCTGAGTAAAATCAGAGAGGGAAAATCAAGAGAGAGAGAGGCAGGGAGTTGGATCTCTGTTTTCCAAAGGCAATTAAACATTTGGATGCTCTATCATTTTAAGATTTAATAGCATAAAATATTACTCAAAATTGTTACTCTCATGACCTCAGTCCCTGCCTTTCATATAGGAGGGTTAGGCTGGCCATGATATACTAGTTCCCTATAAATTTCCTAGTCTGAGGACTGGTGACTAAAATGTGGTCCTGGTACTCTAGTTCCTTAATTATAGAGGATATTATGAATATAAACATGTATAGATAACTGGATGTTGTGAATATGATAGGGAAAAAAATGACTTTGGTTTAAGGAACTGTTTTTCTTATGTTATCAGTTTGTGACTTTTTTCTTCTGGGGGTGGGTATTGAGGAGTGAACCCAGGGCCTTGTGCATACTAGGGAAGGGCAATACCACTGAGCCACATCCACAGCCAACTTTCATTTTTTCTGTTTTTGGTACTAGGGATTGAATCCAGGGATGCTCTGCCACTGAATTACTTCCTCAGCCCTTTTTATTTTTCATTTTGAGATAGGGTCTCACTAAGTTGATGAGCCTGGCCTCAAACTTGCAATCCTCCTGTCTCAGCCTCCAAACAGCTGGGATCACAAGTGTGCACCACCATGCTTGACTAGTTTGTGACATTTTAAATAAAACATTTAGTTTCTGGAATAAGGAATTTCTATCCCTCTTAATAGTAGATTTGAAACAACTTTGTGTCATTCCACATATAAACTATAAGATTATCTAATGTGGTTGAAACAGTAAAATAAATAAAATGTATTTATTTATTTCATGGTGCTGGGGATTGAACTCAGGGCCCTGTGCATATAAACAGTAAAGTGCTCTTCAGGAAAAGCATTCAACATGAATTCCTATCCATAACCTGAATTATACTTTTTAACCACACTCTTTGTTCAATTCTTACTTTGTTCAATTTTTTCTACTAGAGAGAAAAAATCCAAAGTGTAAGTTGACATAGTTCTTTGTTTTCTGATAGTAGTGGTAGGATTTTTTGTTTGTTTGAAATTGTTATACTCCAAAATTTCTACATTTCAGGGACAAGGACGAATGTATTGAAGACAAGTCAGCTTGGCCATCCAGAACATCATTCAGTGAATCCAGGACAGAAAATTTGTGCAGTCTAGAAAAACATTCCATGTTATCCAGTATAGAAAAGTTATCTGGGCCCTCAAGTCCAGAAAAGTCATCCATACCGTCCAGTGCAGAAAAGTTAGTCAGATCTTCGGGGGCAAAAAAGTTATGTAGACCACACAGTAAGCTGTTGAGAGCCACAGCCGAAGGGGCCCCAGCAAACTTCCAGCTGCCA